TAGATTCCTCAACTTGCCCTCGTGTTTTTTTGCTTAACTTTATCCCTTCGAGATCATAGTGCCATAGCACAGCTTATTCGCCTTATTTCATTAATAATGTGGTTCATTTCAACGAGTGACAGACGCAAATGCATTAACAACTTAAACTATTTATTTGTTTACTATAATATATCAACTATTTTATGCTACGTATAATTATTAAGACGCAAGAATTATCTAGCAGTTTCAATTCAACAAAACGTTATTTTGCGTTTTTAATTCATGGTTGATTTCCAACAGTAGCAGCACCTTAAACCTTTCTAACATTTTTCCAGTAATTCCTGATGTTTGGATCAAAAATTTAGTTTCCGTGCTTCAGGAATCTGGCTTAAAGTTAAACAGGTGATTTAATATTACAAAAACAAAACCGTTTTTAAACTTTTTATTCAGAAAGTTGCAAAATTGGTTCATATAAAAATTAAAGCAAAATCTTTGCAATTAACTGATTATCTCGTTTTTACTATGAATACTGAATTAAAATTTAAATACCTATAACTCGCCGAAATGGCATTTTGTAATGACGATTGAAAAAATATATCAAAAGATGGAATTTAAATTCCATTCATTATATTATGTAAAAAATGTGATGACTGATGTCTTTGTCCAAAATGCCACTTGGTAATTATATTTTTTTTAAGTTCAAAACGCTAATTGCGTATTTATTGCGGCATAATCTTAGTTATTACTTGACACAGACAGCACCCACACATAGACAGACTACACAAGTACATATAGACATAGGAATTAATCAAGGATAGTAGCGTAAACGTTAAAATGATTGCCCAGCACATTTCTTTAAATCTTGCATTGTTTCTTTAAACTCTTAGTAGAATGGAAGCTAACAGGTAGATTCATTAAGTTCTTGAATATATAAAAAATTAAAAACAGTATTTCTCTTGGAGAAGTCAGGTCTTCAGTCACTGCAAAGCTGGACTATCATTATAGCGTTTAATGACAGCAAACAATCGCATGGCAAATGACAGGCGTTTTTGATGTAAAAAGAGGTATTAAAATGTCGTTCGCATGGCATAGCTTAGCCTACATAGCACAGCCCAACTAAGTTAACATAAGCCAAGTTAGTCTAAATTGACTTGTGTCACCTATTCCTGTGAATTATTATTTCTTCCCCTCAATGATGTGAAAATATAGGACAAGTAATATAAATAAAACAAAACATTTATTTAAAGTTAGTTTTACATAATACACTTGTATTTTTGAACCGAACAGCTTTTTGTATTGTATTGTACAGCTTTCTTTTACCTTGTTATTGCAGGCATCCTCCTACCAATTTATTTGCTAAATGTCGGCTTTTGTATTCTTATTGTTGAATAAGGTAGAATGCCATTTGTAAGAGTTGTTTTTATGGCCTTTATGTTTATTTAGGTGTCTTAAAGGGTAGTAAGAGAGATAGGCTTTGATACCAAGTTAAGACATACATACAAAATAATTTGCAAAGATGTTTCTTCTTTCAGTAGACTTACAGGTAAATCAACATGTATGTTACCGTTAGTTTGATTGAGCCGCATATGAAAACATGGTTGTAAGTAAGCAAGATACGGGACTATTCCCACCTCTCGTTCTCACTGCTGCAACTCCTGTGTAGCCAGGATTTACAGCTTGACCGCCAATGAAAAAAAACCCAAATAGTAAGCAAGCTCTATACAATTTGAAAACTTTCATAATAAGTTTATCAATCTCTATAGCAGATTAGATCACCTGCTCTGGTTATTCTAGATCTTGTACTAAAATATACATCACCTTCTGCTCTCTTTTAACTCGTTTCTAGCTCTGTTTTATCAATATACCTAATAACCTACCTATAGTACCCATGGTGCATTCATAACTTTTGTATTTTATCATTATTGGGAAACTACTAAGCGTGTTTATTTTTGTGAACAGTCTTGGAGTAATATGAAAGTCAAGTTCATGAACTTGTTATACTCTTTATAAATTTGCACAAACTATGATGTTGTGTAAGAAACCCTATGTTTTTCTGACTTTTGTCCAGTTTATTATGTAAACTAAATACCAGTAAGTAGTATTTAGGTGTATTTTTGCTGACATGGCCTAGGGAGCTACTTTATTGTAATTAATTCAAGATGTTTTTGTGAGCCTATTTATCTTTAATAACAGTCCCTATTTAAATTATTTAACTGTTTTAGAGGGATGTCAATAAAACATAATTATGAATTTAATCAATGTTACTTTAGAATTATGTTGTTATCTGCTTATGCACATAAATAAAGGTATTGTTTGTAAATTAATAGAACAAAATTATGAAGGCTTAGGGTATACCACCATGTACTTATCAAGGGCATGGCTAGAAATGTTCAAAATAAACAGTAGTCATTCCATCAAAAAACGAAAAAGACAAAGTGAGCACCTTTTGGCCTAGTCCGATTTGAGGTCAAATACGAGATAAGCGAGATGTGTCGAAAAATGGGCTCCATATATTTTGACCCAAAATACATGAATAAATATTGTAAAAAATCGATTTCGAGCGGGCACAAATAAAAATCAACAAACTAGGGAACCCTGAAGCCAAAAAAAGCCTCTATACGTACCTACTTATATTTAGGTAGTTGGTACCATGCACGTAGCAGTAAAATATGGAGGATGCATATCCAAATCTATCAAAAGAGTTCCCCCAAGAGCGACGTTTCACATAACAAAAGTTATTTAGCGGTTTTATGACGATAATCAACCAATTAAGATCAATTTTAGTGATAATTTATAAGATAAAATTGGGTAACGCTGTCAATTACCACACGATCGTACCGCCCTACGCTGATGTTGATGTAGCATAAATTCACACTTACCACGCTGGTGTATAACATGTTCCATGAAATAAAGAAGTGTTTAGGGATCAAAGGCGAAAAATACAGTAGATTTTTAGAGAAAGAGTATAGAATTTAGTTAGGTTTCACAAAATTTTCCACAAAACAATAACACTACGCGCAATCACTATCGGACCACCACACTGAAGTTGTCTAGTTGTCCACATCAAGATCAATACCACCAACATGACACAAGAAATAAATCAATTTAATTCGGATTGCACTTCACACAATGATACCGTTTCGAAAATGCTGAAACGATTTTTATCGTACTTTTTAGTGGATTTATAAATTATTGAAACTTTCAAGAAATAAATTTAAAAATAGTGAAATTAATAATTTGAAACAATTTTTTTGGTTAAGTTACAAAATTGATTTTTTTTTATCAGATATTCATGAATGATGGACAACTTTCTATACATACAGGGTGAAAAACACGTGTCGTGGTCATTTAATTTATAAAAGAATCGAATCGGTTCCAGACGAACGCGTAACGTAATGGAAATTAGTATAGGCGGCACTTTACATGTAATACTCGTAGTGCCGTCCACACGTAGAATTTTTATTACATTATACCTACGTAATATCAACTAAAGCTCCTACTGGCTTAGCACACAGATGAGACAGAGGCTTGGCACACCCGTCTAGACCCAGCTTAAACCAATACAATCTGATTGATTGAAATTCTTACAGCAATTGGATGAATTTCTGTCTCACATAAATAGCTAAGGCCGGGTTGTGAGCCGGATAGTCGTGTCTTAGCCTAGCGACTACACATTTTGATGGAGTGAAGGGTACCGGCGGTTTTCAAATTTTTCCTTTTGAAATTACAGGTCCCGCGGTCCCATCTACAACTTACATCGTCCTTACTACCAGTTTGCGATAAGTTTGCCTCTGGCGATATGACATCATTCGAAGGGTAGCGTAACTGTAACAAACTATATGATAAAAATTGTGTGTTTAGGTAAAATAAGACACACTATACGTTTAATCACTAACTAAATGCGTTTAATCGTGATTGGAGGAGGGGTGCGCATTCCACGGACCGGCAACCTTAGCGCGAACGCCTCAACTTTCGCTACCCAATAACCCAACCTAAACTAATGTAAAAATGTAGAATAAATGTTTTTTCTTTCAATCAATCCCAATCCAAATCTGTCTGGCAATTATCTAATTTCAATTTAATTTGGTTGTAAAAAAACATTGAAAATATAGCCTGACCAGGAACATAAAAACCCTGGAATAGAGGCGCTTCAATTGCATTTGATAGTGCAACACTGGGTACAGTCGTACCTGTATTAAATTAATAGGCTAACTTTATGTATCAGGATTCAGGATTATAGGCTTATTTAATATTTTCATAAAATTTATGAAATTTATTTAATTAACAAAAACGTATTATATTAAGGTAAACTGGTTTAAATAAATTAAATGAAACCATCAATCGAGCAAGTAGGATTTTATTATTATTCATCAATAATCAAATTCTGAACTTGAATATTCAACTACAATGTCTGCTCATGAACGCTTCAAGCTCGGTACTTCTTTCCCAATTCCATAAAATTCAATACTTACAAAGTGACAAAAAACTTTAAAATAGGTAGTTGAAACAAACCACAGCTAATTTTCATAGTTGACTGTACTATACGATAAACATGTCAGTCAATTTGACAACCTTTGTCGGAAACATTATTCAATGAAAATATTGTCCGAACCCTTAGTATTTCTCTTCGACAAATACTTTAACACATTGTGAACCACTTTTCTTTCACGACTATAAAAAGATTTTAGCAATTTAATTCACAAAATCAATTGCGCACATTTAAAATAAAGTTTGTTTACACTTTGACAGCAATAGACTGACATGCAAGGTGACATGTCAATGAAGTTTTCAGTTACTGTTGCCATTAAAAGAAATTAGTACCATTAATTTTCCGCAACATGGCGAGGGTTTTTATGTTCCTGGTCAGGCTATAATAATAAAATTGTGGATGTTTGTTCAAGTTTGGCACACAAAATTGGATTCAAAGGGCTTTTTATTCTATGCAATGAAACGATAATAATCTGTGAAATGAAAAATGACAGGTTGGTTGTGTCAAAACTGTCAGAATAGTCAAATTTTTATTCCCTTTCGGTCAAAATTTTTAAAATCATTCGAGTCTTTTTAAATAATTTATTTAGTTTTTAGTTTCTTAATATTTTGGCAAACACCTAACTGTTACATATAGTATCTATTCTTTAAGTTTTAAAAGTTGACGTTATTATTTTTCCTTCGAGAGTGTTTTCCAATCTTTCCGTGCCGTGGTCGTGGCAAAGCACAAGCTCAAATTACCAAAAAGTTATGCATAATACTCAAAGAATAATACCTATCTATAATCTAAACGTATAGTAATGCCGTGTCGTGCTTTATTAGCTGTAATTGTATAATGTATTGTCTATACTAAATTGCAATGCCAGTGTGTTGTTGTGGATTTCTATTTTGCTGAAACATGTGATCAGGGCCAAACATCGTCTAGGATGCAACAAACTGCGTTAAGGAAATTTTTCATTATGGCTCTTTTACTGTGTGTAATATTGCTTGTTTGGACTAACATAGGAGTTATTGGGTATGTACTGTATTTTTTAATTAGTTTTACATTCAACTAATGTGTAATTACTTAGTTTATTAGCAAATATTATTTTCACAATTACACAAATCTAAATACAAGGTTATTTCATTTGCATGAACAAGTTATTTTGAAATAAAAGTAAGAATGAATAATTGTTTTTATATGCCACTTGCATTTTTATGTTACAGGTTTGAAAGTTTCGCATACAAAACTATTCCGGTGAAGAATAAACTCTGTAGTGTGAATTTTAATGATACTAGGCCTCATATGGCCGTTAAAAGTGATTTAAAAGTTATATACTACGTCACACCTACATACCCAAGGCCAGAACAAATCCCGGAGCTCACCCGTCTGTCTCATACATTAATGCATGTGCCTCGAATACATTGGATAATAGCAGATGATCAACCACTGTGTTCTGAACCAGTCCTCAGTGTACTAAAGTAAGAAATTGAACCTTTATATTAAAGTATTAAACAGTACTGTACCGTTATTCGAAGCCTTTATAATGAGAGTAGTGTCTGTCTTTTCCTGTTTGAGTACTAGTTTTGACGTATAATCTGCCCACGTGACTTCCGCTCCGGTCCCCCACCGCCTAAGCACGCCTCAATTAACGACACTAGCGCCACCAACGGTAGCTCGAAACTAGGTTTCGATATTCTCGCCATTGGTGTTTTAGTTCCCGTTCGAGACGGTCGTAGAATTAGCTCCGCTAGTTCGCGACCCATCTCACAGGTACTAGTCGTGACGTGATTCAGGTAAAATATTACCATCATAATGTAAGTACTTCTAAATTATTATGTACTGGCTGAAAACTTATAAAAATTACTGTGATTACTTATTTCGCAGTGTAATTTATTTTTACAACGGTGTTACCGTTCGGGGGTAGATTGCATTCAATCTAACTCAGTGTAATTTTAAATAATTATCTTTCTTCTCTAGTAATACTTGTACCTAACGGTATTCCGTTAGACGTGTTTTAAAAGTAACATTACTTTTTAGCAATGTTTGTTTCTAACGGTTTTTCGTTAGATATGTTTTTAAGCTAACTTTTCTTCTTAGCAATGTTCGTACCTGACGGCGTGTTCCGTTAGATGTGTTTTAAAACTAACATTCCTTTTTAGCAATGTTTGTGCCTAACGGTTTTCGTTAGATGTGTTTTAAAACTAATATTCCTTTTTAGCAATGTTCATTCCTAACGGTATAACACTCCTTTTTAGCTGTGTTTGTTCCTAAGGGTTTTCCGTTAGATGTCTTTATTTTCAAAAGGAAAGAGGAAATATTATGTCCACGTGCAGAAGAGGAGCAAGAGTTGGCGTAGAGGTCAAATCAAAGGATGGTGTGGTGTAATGTGATAGTCGCAAGATGTGATTGCTTGCTACAATAAGCTGTAAGTACCAACTTACCAATACCATTTCAGACATACGAATTCCATCGGACGGATTGTGTTGATTTATAAATCAACAAAATAAATAAACGGTAAACTACCTTTCAACGGTCTGATACTGTGAGTGAGGGTGGACGTAGCTTTTGCGCCTTTTACATGACGTAAAGTAACCGATAGTTCATTATTACATAGTTGTTAATAAACGATGCATTAGACGTGAATTTACGGAGATGCAGATGCAGGTTGCGTTCTGTAAAATATTATAATGTACCTACACACAGTACATTACCACTCAGTAGACAGATAAGCTAAAGTTCTAACTAATTCATAACATTTCTCACTGATCAATGTCTTATTCTTCAATTGATCACATTGGCGATTACACAGCGCCACCAGGAGATAATAGACACGTCTCTCATTATAAAGGCTTCGAATAACGGTACAGTACTGTTTAATAGCGACGTTTTACCTGAAAATAAAACGTTTATTAAACATACTTACCTTATTCGAAGCCTACTTTTTAAATCTACCTGGTGTCATAAAACACAATGGCGAGAATATCGAAACCTAGTTTCGAGCTACCGTTGGTGGCGCTAGTGTCGTTAATTGAGGCGTGCTTAGGCGGTGGGGGACCGGAGCGGAAGTCACGTGGGCAGATTATACGTCAAAACTAGTACTCAAACAGGAAAAGACAGACACTACTCTCATTATAAAGGCTTCGAATAAGGTAAGTATGTTTAATAAACGTTTTATTTTCAGGTAAAACGTCGCTATTTAATTCATTTCTAATTATCAACATTAAGATTTTACTGTAGGATATAATTTTCTTTAAATGTTAATTTAATTTTCTTTAACTTCATATATCCAAATGTAAATAATAGTAATCAATAATATTTTTTTAATTACTGTTACAGGAGATCAGGCTTACCATTCACACATATCTCTAGTCCAAAGCCATATCCCAACAGAGTTACGAACTTCCCTCGTGGTGTATCAAATCGCCGAGCAGCTCTCACCTGGCTAGCGAATAATGTAAAAGAGGGTATACTCTACTTCGGGGATGATGACAATACTATTGACCTGCAGCTATTCGAAGAGATGAGACAGACCAAGAAAGTATCTATGTTCCCAGTAGGACTCATAGGTGCTTACGGTGTGTCAAGTCCTGTGGTGAAAGACGGAAAGGTAAATCATTATTAATTTTTAGTTATATTTCATTATCACTTTGCTTGCGTTCCGCACTTAAAAAAGAGTACCATCAATAACAAAAACTTTGGATACACTAAAGTGTTCACGTGCGAAATCACTTAAAACGTGTCAAGGTCTATTTACAGTGACAAAAATATTGAAAATGGGCTCGTGCGAATGTAAGCTTTAGGTTTTATTTTATTTAGACGTGACGACAGGCGATATAGCGATCTTTTATGAATTATGCAATAGGGCACACTTTCCAATGTAAAATTATGTATGAACTTTACAAAAATATAATATTTGACTGTACATCACAAAAGTGAACAGTTATAGAGTGAGAGAATCAATCTGATGTTTCATTCTGTCTATATTCATTCATTATCTTCGCTTACTCTCAGAAGCTTAGAGAGATGCCACATGGGCGTTTACATTGCAGTACGTCACTGCAACGGCGTCGCAGCGACATCGCAACGCACTGCAACGTCAACTTTCGTGTGGCACCTCTCTAACAGTACAGTATTCATACATATTGAAGGCTTGTATTCAATACGTTATCTGATCAACACTTTGCATTTACCCCACAGACCTTGCAGATGAATGCATTAATGTGTAATATGTAGTTCAATGTGACTCGGTCACAGAATAATATTTTGCTAAACGAAACCATTTTGATACTTGACATTCAAATGTACACTGTTCTATGCAAAGTTTGAAATAAATAAATAAATTGCTTTTTGTGTATAACATTCAAAAACAAAAGACAAAATTCTCTAGGATGTATGCATAATTCAGGCCATTTGTTATGTTTTTTATGCTTAAACTCCCAAAAACATTTTAATATGAAGTAGACTAGAAACTAAATTATGCTACATAGTGTAATGAAAGAATTATGAGAAATTATCGCTGAATTAAAGATAAGCGGTAGAAATAGTAAAATAGATTTTCAGAATACATCTTGTTTAGTGTGAAGACTTTCAGTGCGAAATTTCATTTTTAATGTTTGTTAATTATGTTTTGCACAATCTATTAATACTAATAAAATTGTAGCTTGTATAATTAAACATAATAGATAAAACATACCTAACTTAAATCTATCATGATAGCGACAATATGGTTAAATAACAGAGATAAACAGAAAAATAAATTTTTAATGACATTTTTTGTAATTTACAGGTTATTGCATTCTTCGATTCATGGTCTGCATCAAGAATGTTTCCCGTGGACATGGCAGGTTTTGCAGTCAACATGGAATTCCTGAAGCCATCTGCCAGCATGCCATACATCCTGGGCCACGAGGAAGACGGATTCCTGGTTAGTCTAGGTTTAAAAATGGAGGATATCGAACCACTAGCAGACAACTGCTCCAAAGTACTGGTATGGCACACAAGAACAATGAAGTATAAGAAGCCTACATTGAAATTTAACTATGATAAAATAGATGCAAAGTATAAAAATTTCGCACATTTGCTCAACGAAACGTCCTATCTAGGTATGGCGAACATTGATCCTCATAGCGGGACCAAACCAATGATCCTGCGAAATCGCAAAACATTTGAAACGTTTGCTGGCATTCTCTAGTTTACGTTTTAATTTATTGACAGCTGAAATTAAGTTGATTACTTAGAGTAGGCGCACACCGTTGATTTTTCGTCGGCCTATAGTTTAGTCGGGCAGTTGATCAGTATGGGCATGTATGGGAGTGCGCACACTACGCCGATTCGATTTGGCCGATTCTTCATACAAATTAAAATCGGGCACAACTATCGGCCAACTAAAAATCAACGGTGAGCGCCTACTCTAAAATTAACTATTTAAAATTATTCTATCAGTCTTCATAAATGCATAAGTATACACAAATGACATTAATAATAATAGTGAAATATCTGTATCTATCGATTTCTCATTTAGAAATATTTAAACACTAGTAATTATCACTACATTGACTGATTTCGTCAATTTTTATTAAATTAATGTGTATCTTGCACATATATCAATATAAGTTTCAAGTGTAATGTAACATTTAAATCTTATTTTCTTCTTGAACAAATTACATAAATTAATATAGACATGACATAAAAATACTGAACTCTATGTATACTCTAGTCACGTGATTGCCCCAACAATTTCAGCTTTCAATTACATTAGTTGCTATTTAGATGTTTTTAAAAAATATACAAGTAAATAATACGTATTGATGAAATTTAATTCAAAATAGGCTTGTCGAATTGAGATAATTATAATGCTTTATAATTGTGGATGATAGTAACAAATGGAGTCACGCCAATTTGTATAGAGAAATGCCTAATAATAAGGCAGCTGGCTGAAGATAATTATATTATTGTCTTCTAAGCAATCTTGTCTTTCCCTCCAATTTTCAGAGAGTCGATTCGTAGATATTATAATGAATTTTCGGTGCCATCACGGTCAAAATATCTGCTGGTATCAACTTATTGAAATTTTAAAATCTGTGCAGCATAGTAGAGGGGACAATATTTCGTATTGTAGACGTTCTAAGAATATTTTTAAAAGGATGTGATGTTTTGGCTAAATTTCGAGTAGAATTCACAGCCGTGGTACTGTGTCTTGCGTCCGGATTGTGATTTTAGATATGATGTATAAATTAGTGCTTGTTTTACTATTAGCACCGTGCGTAGTCATTTTATTGTCTTCCACTTTCATTTAAAGTTTTGATGGTCGTAGTGTTAATAGGATTTTGAGGTTTCCAATTTTATCGGACTGGTACAATGCCATACCGTCGCAGCTAAATATCTAATCCATAGATTTAAGTCTTATTTACTAGTATATCACAAAGTTCGAACGAAAACGTGCCTACATAATCCTGCTTCTTTGACTTGGTTATAAGTCATAGGTTAAATACAACTTTATAGGACTTACATTATAAATCATGGTGCATACCTTACAATTATAAATGCCATTGAAAGCAATTATAAAAAGTACAAATATCTGTATATTATTGGGGTGTATAAATGTACATTAACTTATTACATTTTGCTGTTGTGATAATTCTATTGACTACTATTGTTAATTAATTATCCAATGAATCTTGCAAGTACATATTATTATTTGACAATGTAAACTTTCTACATAATTTAGTTATGTAGGTTTTTGTACACGCTACAATTGACGGCTTTCATGGCTGTAATTACTAATTAGTGTAGTTTATTTTAGTATATTAGTTAGGGTGAATGTGAAGAAGTATAAACGTGATAAAAGGCTGTCTATTAGCTACTGATATACCTAACAGCGATAAGAGCAGGGCTTCACTTGGAACAATCGACGATGTATCATTGTAACTCCTGGGCCACACACAATGCAATAACCCGAAGATTCGCATATCGCGATGTGTGTAGCCAAATATTCGCGTTTACTTGGTGCCATTTTTGCATAGTCGCAAACTTGCAAGACAACGCCTCGCTCTCACCCGATGACGCTATGTGAAATCATCCTAAGTTATTTATTGCAATATGGGTGATGTTCCAAATAAGATCTAAAACCAAGCTCTCTACCTAGTATGGGTGAAACCTACCTTGCAGCACAGAATACTTAATTGCTTGTACTATGCTTTATAATGACATACAAACATACATACATAAGTTTAATTAAAATGGGTGTAAAATAAATGGTCATTTAGTTATTTATATGGTGATATTTGCTTTCTCAACTCAAATTAGTAACTTGGAATATGTAAGCTGGAATCACCACGTCTTCATTCTAAATTATTAGGTATGTGGTATTCTTGACAATATTATATGGTAATTAATTTGTCTTTTGTATTAATATGATGTGCCACGTGTATTTTAGGAAGCCCTATGGGCTCTACAACAACGAATTGTAGTGTCCTTTATCTAAAACCTATCTATACGAGCAATATTTGTGTATAGGTATACAATCTTCTGTAATAATGTTCTCGGAAATATCTCTAACGATTTCAATAATACAATATTATGGTTGTAATCTATTCATGGTTTCGCCATAGAACTCGTCTTTCCAATAGCCCATGGCTGAATCGGAATATAAATCTGCAACTGAAGCCAATAACTCTATGTATCTGTTAATGTTATTGTGATATTTTATAAATGATCAATTAGGTTAGGTATCTAAGAAATTATCCAAGTACTAAACTAAGTTATAGGAAAATAAAATATGCGTCCTTATGTTTACTTCAACAGAGCAAACTTATTGTAATCACACTGCCTGGCAGAATATGTTTAAGTGTAGCTGCTTCTTTAACTGGATTATACAAAACGTACTTATATTATATTGCATACGTATTGTGATACTGGCAATAACCTATTGTAAAATGTGTTAGTTAGTAGACCAGTATTATCACTCTGTCATTTTAAAAGCAATATTAATGCCGAATTTTTTAACTTGAAAATCGAAATAAGTAATAGACAAAGGTTAGTTTTAGCAGACCCTCTAGACAAAGTAACATTCGTTGTTCGAATCGCGATTCGCTAAAACCTAACAAATTCCTACAAGAGTGTTAAAAATGTCTATGAAGTAAAAATTCGTTTCAAACGACTTTTATGGAGTGAAAATTATTCGTTTCGAAGTTTATACATGTATAGAGTAAAAAGTGTTAAGTTTTATAATCGAAGCGAAGTTACATTGTTTACAGGCATTTATATTAATATAGTTATGTATTTAAATATTTGTGACCAGTTGCTATAGCAGTAGATAGACCTAGTTATAGTATACAATTTAATCAATTAAATAATCCTAACTACACTTGTATAATATGAAACAAATTAATGGGAGAAATTATATTAAACCAAATTTTAATAAATTCCGGGAACTTTTAAATTTTTGAGCATCTAATTAATTTAAGAAATAGCTACCTAATATACTTATACTTCTTTATAAACTCAAATCAGTTATTCGTTAAAATTATGGCTCGACTTATAAAAGTACGTATAATGTCTCGAAACATACCTGAAAGAAATAGCTAAGTATAGAATTATGCTTATGTACCATAGACATTGAATGTATTGTGTTATATAATCTAATTATTTCAAACACTTGTGTTGTTTGTAAGACTTGCAATATATCAAAGTTTGCTCATTTATTGATTGTTGTTAATAAATATAAATATTATGCTTAGTTATGATTTCGAAGTTGCAAACTTGTGTTCGTATAACATTCATGTGTCAATGTTCACATTATATTAGTTTTTACTTACACATTTCGAAGTCGTTGAATAATATCGTCATCACATTTTATTTAATATAGGTACGTAAATTTTATTGTTTGATGGCAATTATTTTTAATTATTTTATTTAAATTCTTTTTCTAACAAGCGTGTTGATATTGTGGATGTAGTGGAATATTATTGGTGTTGAGATAAATAATAGGCTAGATGACAAAATTCCAATTATTTGTCCGTCAGAGAGATATTAGAAAATATTAGACTCATATTTTTTTATTTTCTTTCATAATTAAATAAAAGCAGTGCTACATCGAGTTGAAATAGCGCGTTACGTCACGCTTGAGTAGATTTTTTTACTCAAAAGTGACGACATTTCAACTCAATAATATAATACTGTAATTATTCGATTATGAAAAAAAATCAAAAATATGTGTCCAAAATTGTTTTATTATCTGTCTGACGGACTAAATAGAATTTCGATTTCATTACCCAGTTATCATCCCTATTGTATATTTTCTTATGAAATAATTAATAATGCCTATAGGTAGGTAGCTACTACTACTACGAAGACAGCTTATAGTAATACAGTTTTTTTTTTTGTGTTACCTATATCAAACTAATTTTATTTGTAGTATGCAGCTTCTATAATAATCTTAATATTTGACTCAATTATTAATCTAGACATGTGTGAATATGAAATGTATAAATAGATTTAGTTTTATCAAATTGAAATGTTATTGTCTTAAATTCGTAATATCTCATTATGTTTATTTATTTGTTATTTGTAACCTCTGTTTGGGCACATTGTGTATAGCTACAGTAATATAGTTCATATAAAGGCCGTGATATATCTATCGGTAGTTTGTAAGTAACTAACATAAACTCTGTTTGAATTCACCGATAAAGTCTATAAGAAGCACTCAATGTTTTCTTAAATATGTCAAGACTACAGAACAATATAACTAACATAGATTTGAGAGTATCCTAAATTGATCTAACTTTGATTTTGAGTCTCTAGTATCCTGATGATAAATACTTACTGTTCTTGGAAATAATCTGTAAAGTATCAAAATAAATAGGTGTTTTGCTATTATATGGATAAATGTTATCTATACCTAGTAGGTAGGTAATGTTACCGTATTTTTTAACCAAATATAACCATCACAATGACGTATATTTAAAAACGAACATTTCATATTTTGGAATCGACCTTCCTTTATTTATAACGTTATTTATTTTGTTTATTGTATTGCTTGTCTTTGTAAAATTTGGATGTTTTATTTGTAAATTGTGTCAGTAACTGGAGTTTTAATCAACAAATTGTGGTTGAGATATACGTGTATGTTAATAAACGACATCTGTAATTGTAATTTTGAAAATTAAGATATTATGTGAGTACAAAAAAATTGAACAAAGAGAGTAATACCAACTAAAAAGAGTGGTTGTTTGTATGTTCATAATTTGTTTAATGTAACGCCAAATCAGACTATGTATTTCTTGTCGCTGTAAGCTTAAAATCATGTACTATTTTAAATAATGTACCTAACACTAGCACATGACCTAAAAATTAAAAACACAATTAAAATTAAAACCGTGGATCACACTCCACTTAATGTTGTATGTAGAGGAGAAAATAAATAGTCATTTTAATGTTACATATCGTTTTATTTTATCGTATAATACATTATAAAATGTTGGTTGTCATTGTAACACAATATACATTTTGTCTTATGTTATTATTTAGATTCGATATTCCATACATACAGTAGTGTCACCAAATATACAATTTGTAGAATATACAATCTGTTTATAGGCAGGTTACGTAATATAAACATTAAAGTTGAAGCCAAGCAAGATAATAAAGTTTTGAAACGTGTGTAATTTAACGACCAAGTTAGTATCTAAAGATATTGGTTGCAAGGTTTATTAAGTTCATCTCTCTTCAGGTTACCTAGAAGAGGGCGCTTCCTAGCGATCAGACCGCCTAAATCGTGCCGTTTCAAATTGTAGGTACTTATTCCTTGTAATAAAATTGGTAGTTAGCCTATTGTCGTTTTTTGTGAAGTGCAGAAAAAAGAGTATTTTATGACGTATAATTAATTTGCACAGTTGTTTTAATAACGTTATTGTATGGATTCTGTTGGGTGAGTGGGAAATACCGCAATGATACAAACTTGGCTAAAACTTCATAATGCCGATTTGAACCAATTTAGGTACACAGTTCAAATTGTTGCCAAATGGCACCTAATTACATACAAATAAGACGTCACATTCTCCAGCTTGATGTATCGTTGTCTGTACCAGTAGCCTTATTCACGTAACAAAACTTCAACGACAACAAAACACTGAGTTGCGATCCCATCGAGTAATCGTTCTATCAAAATGACCCTTGTGAATACGGATTTAGAACTATTTTTCAAGGGGACGACTTCTGGACGTCGGTGGGATCTTGACTTTCAAAATACGTGAATTAGGCCACTGGGCGTAAGAAAGAAGTAAAAATGTCGTAACCTAGAACTCGGAATTCATCATTTCTGTTGAAGTTCATTCATCTTGGCTTTGTACAGAGGCAGTTCAACGTCATCCCAGTGAAGAGTTAAGTTGTCGAAAAACCTGTAAATTACAACAAGTTTAAGAAATACATGTAATATATTGCATCAAAATCGGTTCATCCAAATGTAAGATAATCGCGAATATGGACAAACATACGGGTCAAAGAACTTCCTGTTCTAAGTCGGTAAAAAGCCACTACCTACTTTGTTTGACATGATGTTTCGCTTACTGTGAAGGGTATAACGAGAATGATGCATAAACTTGGTGCATAAAGCTAAGCGTCCACTTGTCGGTATCGTACGCAACGGACGCATCGTACGAAACACATCGTATCGCATGTACGATGCGGACAGGTGGACGCACTTATATGAGTTTCCATATAAATAATACTACGATCCGTTGCGTGCTATACGTCCGATGCGTACGATACTTTGATTGTGTCGTCTGAAGGGCAACTGCAACGATGGCGTGAACACTTTCAGGAGGTCTTCCGCCCTACCTCAGCGAGATCAAGCGAGAAGCTCAAGACCGAACGAGATGGAGGACTGTTGTGGACGCCCTCTGCCCCATCTAGGGGACATAGGACCATAAGTCAAGTACGATACCGACATGTGGACGCTTAGCTTTTATTCAGAATCTATATAGGTACAGTCAGCTTCAAAAAGTTCTTGACACCCAAAGTAGCCAATAAGTTCGTAACACAACTTTGTTACAGTTGGAATAAGGTGGTGTTATCAACTTATTGCTCACTTTGGGTGTCACGAACTATTTGACGCTGACTGTACTACATGTTCTAAAGTTTGCTGAACTTCGGTTTGCTGTTTGCTTCGGTTACCTTTAATTTTTACTACCTATGAGATTATCTGATTCAGATACCCAAAAAAGTTACGGGAAGGTAATAGGTAGGTAATAAAATAATCCTGTCAATCATTAGGTAGTTTCATTGACGAAATTATGCCCAAGGTAGTGAGTGAGTTCAAGTGACCCCTATGGTAACACACAACAGGAGTTTTGTTTTCATAGGGGTCCCTTAAAAATTAGGGATTGATGGTGAAAACGGGCTTTAGAAGACTAACCTCATCTGAACTTCAGCTAGAACTTTCTTCTCGTGCTCACTGAGTCCTTTGTCCATGACGTCAAGCGTGTCGATCAGCTGTTCCTTGTTGTAGAACCCACACACATTTGAATCAATGCCTGGTTGATTTAACGTGTACCAAGTCGCTATACGGGCTAACTCAACGTTATGCGCCTAAAATGAAAATGATTTTACTGACTTTAGAGTTAACAAAATTAACCACTATCGAATAAAGAACTAATTTTATATAGGGTGTACAAAAAGCAAAAGCAAAAAGTATTTCTAACCAGTGGCGGCGCCATGGCCATGTCTTGGTACCCGGGGCGCTAACCTTCCAGTTAAGCTTCCTATGATTTCCTTCTCCTACCGAGTAGGTTTACCACCAAAATAGACCAGCAACGATGATCGAACTACCGAGCACTTACTTACCGAATACCGACCCTCAAGTCTGCAGTCCAATACAGACATTGGGTCATTTCATTTGTGACCGCAACCTACCTTGCAATACTCCGAGGCTCGTCTGCAGAGGGCCTTGATGTCGTCACTGGCCGGGTGCCACGGCTGGGGCCCCTTGTTAGAGAGCAGCCCCATGCCTGTCGCAGCTGCATTTATTACGCCCACGCCTTTGCTCTGCAAGTAAGAAAATAAATAAAATAATCCATTAATGTAGAGAAACTTGAATATACAAGCCGTTCGAACTAACTGGGCACTTCGCAGACTCTCGCTCGCACTCACCCGAACACTTCCCCGCGTTCGGCCCGTTCCACAGAGCGTCGATGTGACGTCACAGCTGTCAGGTGCGCAGTTAACACTCGATCGCATTATACTTGCAATGAGCACTTAATTTATTATCAGAGAAGGAGCCACGCCCAATTTTAACAATGCTACTCATTATGACCTCGGTCTTCATGTGTCTTCCCCAACACTATTATTTCTATAAATAAGTAGTAGCTTAAGTAGAAACCTTAATATAAACAAGAAGGTTTAAGATAAGTACATCTGGTGCATGTCGCGGGAAGCACCTGGATGCGAACAGCGCAGGACCGGCCGTGATGGAAATCCAAGGAGACCTTTGTCCAGAAGTGGACGTCATAAGGTTGTAACGATAAGATAGGTAAAGTACGAGTGAGTATATCTAACAACATGGCTAATAGGTACCTAGTGTACTCAGTGGTGGATTTACCAGCAGGACGATCAATGTTCGCCCCAGTTCCCCAGGCCTAACGGGCGGCAATCCGCCACGAGTCTACTAGGTCATGACCAGCACAGTTATGTACTGTTAAGTTACAAAACAAAATGTAAGATACTGATATGGGCTTTACGTAACAGTCCTCAGTCATTTAACTACCGCATCCAAACACTTGAGCCAATGCAAATATCGGCGAGGGTACTCGAGGCTGTGCTGTTTAAGGTTTACTTCGACAAGACATGTGCTGGAATGCGGTTTTGTAGTTGGTTCGTCAGAATATCGGGCCTTATAATAGCGTGTGGATTGAGTGAGCACAAAGAATCATGTATAACTTTTTAATTACGGCCCTCACAAATCTAAAATTAAAGACACTAACTTTGCAGAGTTTTTACAATATAACGAGCATTAATGATATTTATAAACTTATAATAATACGGAGATCCGGCTAATCCTCTGTCAGGCCTTTTACAATTAGATACTTAAGTATAAATTTAATGCTTTCCAGGGGGTGCTCATTCAATCCACACGCACACACTCGAGGCAAGTGGAAAATGATACGGAAAGCGTTCCCAGCAATGCAGCGAACGCAAGAAGCCAATTGCTGTCGCCGTCAAGGATCCCAACAGAGTGGAACGGAAACGCGTAAGTAAGTAATCGTTGCAATTGTCACCTTGGCGTGGTCTGGTGCATGATAGTCGCAAAAACTATCATGCAGCGACACTCGCAGGAAGTTACGCTGCAATCAACTGACGCAGTGCCAGGAGATTTAAAATCTTACGATACTAATATTCTGCATAGACAGGTACTATTATTTGAGTCAGATAAGGTACTTAGTTGTAGAATCGTTCTGTCCGAAGACCTACCAATTGGTATGTCATGTTCATAGTAAGATCTCTATTACATACTAACAGTATAAAATACCTAATCGTAGGTATTTTTATTATGATAAGACAAGAGTCTTAAAAACCAGTAGGTGTCAGATATTTCGTGCTACAATTAATATTAAGATAATTTGTCACAGCAAGCTGTTGATTTTGTGTCAGCTCAAGCGGAGAGGAACTGCATCTGAAAATAAGTAAGCCATCGCCCATCATGATTACAATCACAATCAGACAAACCTTGAAGAACTGAGTATAGTTCTGGAGACGGTTATCGAAGAGAGTCGACTTGGCGTACGAGAGGATGGAGGATATCTTGACATCAGACTCCTCGATGATCTCCTTCATCAGTTCAATGTCGTAGTCCGCCAGCCCGATGTACCGGGCCTTGCCGTCTTGCACCGCCTTAGCGAGGGTAGGCAAAGTTTCCTTCAGGACTATCGAGATATCTGGCGCGAATGTTGCGTCGTGCACCTGGAAGGAGACAGCCAAGTTCTTGTCATTAATTCATTCCCTAAAGGTTCGGCCAAACCAACGCGATCATCCGCCGGCTGATTGCGTTGGTTTGGCCGAACCTTAACTGTCTATAACTGCCTAAGGCGGAGTTGCACCAACTAACTGACCGTAACTATAATGATAACCGGTGTATTTTGTATGGAGTTTGACAGATTTTTGGCATTTGTCCGGTGAAAATTATACCCGTATTCACAAACGATGCTTGCTTAAGTGAAGCAGCAAATCGAACGCACAGCTTTGAATAGAGCTCTGTGATTGGTTCGTGTGTCACCCTGTGTGTCCACGCGCACTGTGAGACCTCATAGTAATGTTTGTGAATACGGGCGATAGTCTCCACTGTAGGTGCATAAGCGTTTAATTCACCCGAGGCCTAAAATCGGATGAGTTCGATTCCTTTAATTTAGATAAGTAGGCGTACGTTAAAACCCTAGTTAAAGGGTCAGAGATAATTGTTACTACTACAAATATCTACTTATGACCCTAGTTGAATGTTTTAGCGTATCTAAATTGTGGTGGGTTTATTGGAATAGGTTTTTAAAAGCCTTAGAACTTAGTAAAAATATTACCGTTTTACACACACAATGGGTATAATTTGGCTAGGTATACTAGGTAAAGTAATTTACCAATACATAGTAAATTGATAGATAACGTATCGAACGTTATTATGATAACAACACGATGATGTAATACCTCGACGTCAAATAAATCGCACCTCCCGCGACAAGCATTTTCAAACGTATGCATCCCCACTTCCCAGTTCCCACCAATATTGGTACCATTTAAAAGCCTAGTTCTAACCTTCATTTCATTAAAGGATAGGTTTTTACCCCACAAATGTGTCTTTAGAAGGATCCAGAGTTACTTCTTAAAAAAATACTTAGGTAGTTACGCTAGAGCCAACTTTTATAGCTATAAAACTGTTAAGTTGGGTTTAATTGCTATCCATCTGATAAAGAGGACACGTGAAATCATTATTTGGTTTTATAACCATAAAAATTGGTCTAATTGATCCCATAGGTGGGCCCAAAGTGAGGTATTTTTTCAAGTCACATTTATGGTATAAATGTTATTCATTTATTAAGAAATTAATTGTGTTTTTCTTTAAGGATATTTATTGGGCTTTCAAATAACACCAATATTATTGGGGTACCATGATTGTGTCAGAAGAAAATCGTTAAAGTTCGCGTCGCGGAAGGTGCGGTTTATTTGATGTTGAGTATATTAATCATACCTATACTCAATTATTTAGGCTTAGTTGCACCACCGTATTTTAATCGTAATATTAACATTAACCGGTGCTTTTTGTATGGAGTTTGACAGATTTTTGACGTTTGTCAAAGTTATAAAGTTCGATGGTGTAACTCAGCCTTAGTTTCATAATATCTTAACCATAAGTGCTAAGGAAAAAGGCTAAAATAATAGGTAGACCGTTACTAGATTATTTTAGCCTTTCCTTCCTGTATTTTATCTAGCAGACCGTGGCCATTCAGATCTCGATTTAAGAACAAAATCATGTAGTTACTTAGCTTTGATCTATCAGTTTAAAAGTTAAGTTAAATGTAAATCCAACAGACAGAGCCCTCGGCCAGTGATTTTAATCCAGACGTGGTAAATTGAATCAGTAACGTCGTTTAAGCCCTCTAGTGCTTTTATTTTCTGGGCACCCCATTTAAAGCAAATTAATCTCTCAATTACAGGAAATGGGTATTGTCTATCTTGGTTTGCAGCCTTGACTTGATATCGTAGGCTTTACTCTTATAGCACAATCGTCCCTAAATACTATAATATTTAAATATGTACTTATGTATTTTTTTAAGTAAACATAGGGTCAAGTAGGAGAAAACCTTTATAAAAATCTTAAAAGGATTCCGTTTTTCCTTTTATATAAGGTACGGAACCCTAAAAACAATGCCGTGCCAGTGGGGTATTATGATCAAAGCATTTTCCGTGAGTTAGTCTATAAACTCCTAAGTATTTAATGAGTTCCAAAATATTGATTAACTTAGAGATAATTAGATATCATCCATCTAATCAACATTTACTTACGATACGAATTACCTACGTAGGTAATTAATTACCATATGTAGGTACCTACTTGCCGATACTAATTAAGTAGGTAAATCTCCACAATCAAGGGTGATTTAAGCTAATACCAGAAGAACTTAATGCCTGGTAACTAAGTAGCATCTGAATGCAACCATAATGATAGCTGCCATCATCAGTACAATCAATTATAGTCACTATCGCTTGCTTAAAATGCCTAATCTAATCTTAGCCGAACTGTTTATTATGTAACTATTCAATAGTCATTCTACATATTATGTTAGTGTTATAATAATGTGTTTTGTGCTGTGTTGTATGATAAAGAAAAGAAATACGCCCGTATTCACAAACGATGATAGCCTCTGTAATTGGTTCGTGTGTCACCCTGTATGTCCACGCGCACTGTGAGACCTCATAGTAATGTTTGTGAACACGGGTGATAGAATGTCTAGTAGTCTGTACTAGAACTTCTAGAGATGATCCGACCAATCGCCGCATCGCTTACGTAACGGGACCAAATTGCTTTAAATTGGCGCTAACGTGATGATCTTGACTTGCTGACCTTTTTTTTTACCCAGGAAAATGGCCTATCCATACCTACTGCCGGGAGACGGCAGGTTATGTGTGGCTCGAACCCACTAAAAACCTGGGATGTTCCCTCTGCCGCATAGTGGTCGGCGCCTTGGGTATTATTAAGGGTATTATTAACGACCAAGGCACCTTCCGCGGACGTCCCGCCCTACACGGCGGGACCCAACACGCCCCCACTTAATGGGGGGCCGACAGGATTAGCCGGGACCACGAGGCCAATCCCATCCGACGGCGGTGGTAGCCTGTACTATCTAATGCAGGAGGAGGCCCCCTGCGTCTCCAGCCTGCTGGCCACCACCAAGGGGAGGAAGAACTTGCTGACCTGTATCAAGTCCACGTAATCCAGGCCGAGGCGACTGAGAGTGATGTCCACGCCCGCCTCAGTCTTCTCCGCGGAGAAGTCGAACATGTGCTCCGTGGTTTTCTCGTACCGCCCCACTTTGCTGCCGATGAAGAAGGACTCTCGGGGCACATCTTTGAGAGCCTATAAATTAAGAACATGATAGATAGAACACACTATTTACACCACACAAGAAAAGAAAGAAAATATAAAAATGATTCTGCACAATTTAGGCGGTCTTATCGTCATAAAGCGATCTCTTCCAGATGAATACTTACAATGAAAGTTAACGGTATTATGGCCATTGAATGAGGATAGGTCGCGGAAAAGATTCATATTTTAGCATTTTGATTGGTGGTCATAATGTGTTGCTGGTTGGTGGTCTGCATGCATTTTCCTCTCTACTTAAAATTATAATAAAAACTGTAGTAACCATAACAAGTAGCCATCTATTTATTTACATTTCCTTAATAAAATAATTGGATAAAAAGCATCACCTTGCCAATAGTCTTTTCGGAACTTCCTTGTCCGTACCAAGGTCCCGTTTCCAAGTAGTTTAAACCGCGGTTAAGACTTTCTCTTATCAACTCCAGACTCCGTTCCTCGTCAAACGTCCTAAAATGTAAATTTCTGTAAATACCTTACTCAGTTACCCACTCACCACTTGTGAAGATACTGAATAGGTAATAAATACTGAAATTATGGCATATAAGTGGGTAAGTAGCTAAGTTGTTATTTAAATCAAGTACAGGCAGATCAAATTACAAAATGAAGTCGGTTAGAAACGCATGCATGCATGATAGACAAAATTAATGGGTAATTAAGATTTGCGACCTCTGTGACCTTAATTAATGAATCAAGGTTATTCGCTAGGTAACTGTGGTAATTCTTGGGAAAATTATTATTTCCATCCACCTAAAATCGTGTTGCGTGGCGCGCGGGAGTTTTATCCGACGCCTGTTAAATGAAATACTTATTTATGGAGAATGACGTGGTTCTTTTATAAATTCATACTGAGGTTACCATTTTCCAACAGGCTTAGGTTATATTTAATAGTTTCAGTCCGTGGCTTAGCCCGCGTAAATTCAAAAACTTTTCGCGCGTCTCACAAACACAACAAAACTTGTTTACAACAAGCATCGAAAGGGAAAACACACCGAGCGTCGGTATTCAATCGAGGCACTTATAAATAGAATAACAACTAAGTAGTTCTGTTATCAGTAGTAGGACAAACATCTAACACCGACTTACATACCCGTAGATGTTACTAAAGGCTGCTCCTCCTAAACTAACGTGGGACACCTTCATCCCCGTTGTACCCAACTCGTTATATTTCATATTGGATTAACTTTTACTTTAGTCTGTTTACAAATAAACGAATGGCGGCCTCACTATCTGCCGCGAACCGCCGAAGCGAAGTGCCGGCTGATTACGCAGCAACCGCTTCATAAACTGTATTTTATTAACCTTACTGCGCGCGAAGAGATTATGCATTCGGTCTAACAACAGTCAAGGAAAACTATATTAAACCCAAGTAGGTAGGTAGATACCAAATCGTCATAATAAATCCGAAAATGTTGGTTTTCCTTATGCAGGTAGTGTGTGTAGGTACCTTTAATTAATTTGTATACGTCGTTTCGTAATTTTTATCTTAATTCATCAACATTCCTTAGTAAAATTATTACGCACTTATTAATACCTAATAGCCTAAATCTTGTCGTCATAATAAATTAAATTTAACAAGAAGTAAGTCTCGTAGTATGGTTTAAAATTAAGTACCTACCTACTCATGAAACGAAGTTCGAAAATTATCTAAAACAATTTATTTTATTTATCTATTATTCATTAGTGAGCAATTACATATTTGATCCAAATAGCGTCCTAAATCCTCTTTAAAATTGGTAGATTGGTTAAATAAATATATAAAATCTACGTCTTTTGTTATTCACGTGGGTGACAATGATGTGCGTCATCAAGGACGACGCGGTTCTCAAACCTTAAAAGAAAGTTGAAAAAATTTCGTTGGTACCTAGGTAGGTATAATAATAAGTACTTACTTTACTACTCCACTAATCCACTGAGTAGAGTAGGTAATTTTATAATTAATCCTATCATTTTGCAGTATGAGCTCCGAGTTTTAGATGAAATACTGTTGCCTACTTTTCTATTTTGTGACACTGTTGGCACACCTGCCTGAATAACCGCTGAACCTAATCATCCTACCTATCACATCGATTTCTACAGTATTAATTTAATATTAAACAAAATAACCATAGAGAGGTTTATCCGAAAATCAGCAACAGTTTGAGAACCACTATGTCCTAGGGTGAATGAAAGAGAAAGAACTATGCTTGATGCCGCGCGAAGTACTTCGATGGCGGATTTCTATGAAATTGAAATCAATGATTGATTGAAGCCATGAATAAAAATATTTTTAGTGCTCTAATAATTAAGTTCCTACCTAATTTCTCATGATAATTTAGTTTGCGGGTACACACAGTACGTAAACAACAGGCAGATTTCAGATGAGAGAGAGACAGAAACAGAGTATGACATTGATTGATGTAAAACCGATTGTCAAACTGACATTTCTAGTGCTGCCAGTATATTGTATAAAAAAAAATTACGCTTTTAAATTCGTTTTCTTCATTTTAAGTAAGTTATAGCCTGTGTTTAGATTTTGTTGCAATGAATATCTACGCTACGAATTACATCAGCCGCTGTACCCACGTCAAACATTATTTGAAACATCACAGTTGAAACGCATCGTAATTTTTTGGTTAGATCATGTATAGGCCAGTAGAATTAAACACAAAAATGAATTAAATCGGAAATAACTCCTACTAAAGATTTTAGTGCTTTAATGGCTTCATTAGCTGCCCATAAAGACTCTCCTAGGTTTACGACTTCGACGGAGTTGTGCTTAAGTGGTGGGGCGCTTTTTCGGTTTTCCGGTTATACCGCGTAAAGGACTTACCCTATAGAAAAGTGGTCTTCTTGACGGTTGAAGGGCATTTAATCCTGCATTAAATAAGACCTAATTCATATGTTTTGAACAAACCGTTCTCGTGCAAATGTTCGGCAAAGTAGAAAATATGTGTATAATCAATGACCCTCTCCACGTCCAATGGCTCGTTACCCGCAGGCTTCTAAGTCTTGAATAGGAGCGCCTTAACCAGTGTAACCCTATCAAGGCTTACGAGCTGGATGCACCTATCCTTGTTCGTCCCAGCTGTTCCTTAACTGCGATTGCTGCACCTCTTCCTGGCACTTACCTGAACGACCCTGTGTTACCTACTGTGGCTGCCCCTCTTCCTTTTATCCTCCTGCACGACCACATTTACTAGCCGTATGCCTGGTCTAAGGTTCGACGCCAAAAATCAACAATAACAAGTTCATATTAAAATGCTGAAGAGTTTTTTGTTTGTTTGTTTGAACGCGCTAATCTCAAGAATTACTAGTTTGTTTGAAATAATTATTTTTGTGTTGAATCTCATAAATTGAGGAAGGCTATAGGATATTATACAATCACTCTACGACTAATAGAAGCGAAGCAGTAAAGAAAAATGTTGCAAGCACGGAAAATACTATTTAAACTATTTTCACGCGTACGAAGTTGATTTTGTGGCGTCTAACCTTGGACCAGGAATATGGCTAAGCAATGCAATCGTACAGGAGGGTACAAGGAAGAGGGGCAGCCACATTAGGTAACACAGAGTCGTTCAGGAGAGTGCCAGGGAGAGGTGCAGCAACCGCAGTTAAGGAACGGCTGGGACAAACAAGGNAAACCCGTTTCATTCCACCCGTGGGTGTTTACACCGGGTGAAAACAAATAATTTTATAATTATTTCAATTGGTATCTTTTCTTTATTTTTATTGAATTTTTCTCATTTAAGTTTATTGATTAATAAGTAATAAGTCAAATTTAACACTAATATGCATTTATATCGTGGCCAAATCGTAAAATTGATCACGTTATGATGATGTGACCAATTATTTTATAAAATGGTGTTATTTCAAGAATCGTTGAACCGATTTAGAAGAAATTCAGTAGGAAAACAATAATTTGTGATCATGGCAAGGACATGGAGGGGGGGAGGGGGGGGGATGCCAAAGATGCCAAACTCTCTCTTTGATGACAGTACGGTATAAAGTTACAAATAACAACACCAACTACAAAGTACTTCTGCTTAAAAACTTGAAATCGAACCGCCCTTCCGCCACTGTAACGCATTGTAACGTTTTTCAAGACCTCTTCTCCCCCCAGATTGCATTACGTAACACTAGAACGCCCCCTTAGCAACAAATACCACTTCTCACTTAAAAAAACGCTATTTTTGTTTTCACCCACCAGAATGGGTGATAATGGGTAAAAACCGGGTTTAAACCCAAATCACCCAGTTTAAACCCAATCGGGTGAAATGGGTTTTTACCCACTACCCATCTCTAGCAGCAACCGCAGTTCAGGAACGGCTGGGACAAACAAGGATAAGCGAATCCAACTCGTGAGCCTTGACAGGGATACGCTGGTTAAGACGACCCTTTACAAGGCTTGGGAGCTTACGGGTGATTAGTTATTGGACGTGGAGAGCGTCAATAGTTATACACATATTTTCTACTTTGCCGAACATTTGCACGAGAACGGTTTGTCCAAAACATATGAATTTGGTCTTATTTAATGCAGGATTAAATGCCCTTCAACCGTCAGGAAGACCACTTTTCTATAGGGTAAGTCCTTTACGCGGTATAACCGGAAAACCGAAAAAGCGCCCCTTTCGGGGGCCCCCACCACTTAAGCACAACTCCGTCGAAGTCGAAAACCTAGGAGATTCTTAATGGGCAACCAATGAAGCCATTAAAGCGATAAAATCTTTTGTAGGAATTATTTCCGATTTAAAATCTAATTTTATTGGACTAATAAGCAGTTTATATTTTAATAACATAATCTTTTCACTATTTATCTTACTATTTCTATATAGATTTTCCTTATAGAAACTCATCAGTAAAATTATTCTCAGTTAGTTAATCACAAACTAGACTAAAAATAAATAAAATATAGAATAAATGAGTGGAGTGGAGATTCAACCATAAATGAACTGAATATGAAAAATAAATGAATGGTTGATAAAAAATAAAATAATATCAAGACATCTCCGAAACCTGAAAAGAAACTGACTAACGAAAACATTTTTTTTATAACGGCAACACCAATTGGTGACGTTCTGAAATGTAAGTTTTCATGAACCCACAGATATGGATTAGAGTAGATACAGCAAGTTGCACGAGCAACATTGACGACAAAGCGTGCCATTCCGATATGTCCAAATGGACATACATGGTCGAGTGATGTTCACGTTGTTAATTGTAATCCGATTACAACAATCGGTTTCGATGATTTTACGAGGACAGTAGTACGAACGAACACGGTAGAAATAAGAAATTATTAACGGATTGAGAAATGTAATTAACAGCACAAGTAACAAATAATTAAATTAGAATAAAGTAGCAGTAGAAGAAGTATAAAGTAGCATTGTTTTTAATACAGGAAATAAAAAATATCGGAAATAGTTATCAGATAAATAATGATAAAATCACAAAATTTTAACACCAATCCTTCACTAACCAAATGTCACATTATCAATAAGGTTTTTCATTATTTTATTAATAGCAATATTTTTAATTCCTTTAAAAAACATCAGTTTGATCAACCACCCACAGAAAATCATTTAGAAATATCTTCAAAACTAGGTACCTGACTTAGCTTTATGAAACTAAACGTATTGGCAAAACTACGCATTTTTACATTTATTAAAAATGAAAAGCTTGAGTTAGTCTTTATTTTAAGAAACTAGCGGCCGAATACTGAAACACTACTCAAATCTGTCACTCAGCTGACGGGCTCCTAAATTTAAGTATCCTTCAATTTTAAATGGTATTCTCAAACGCTACTCAACGGATTTGAAGCCGTGATCAGCTAAGCAGCTCTCAAATGTTTACATAATGGCAACATTTACCAAAAAAAGTATGTTTTCATTTACACAAATGATAACTTTACGTCTTTTATCCATTACACGCAGCATCGTTTGGTTATGTATTGTCTTTTATGGAAATATACTCAATCAACTTAACATAGAACAGTTTATTTTTAGTTTCTATTATATATAAATCTCGTTTTATCATATAAAAAAATTAATGCTTGCATTTTTATTTAATTAAAAAAATAATTTTAAATGTGATACTTTTTATTGTTGAAATCTATTAAGTGGCGATCGTGGACCGAAACGTAACCACAATTGACATTTATCATTGTTGACTGACAGAGCATCAAATTGACAAATCAACAACTCTTGGAAATGCTGCTATGCGATGTCCCCTTAATCCTCAGAAATAGGCATGTTTATGTAAAGCGATTTCATAGCAGCTATTTTGGTTGTTACTTCGTGCACTATACGATGCACAGTTGGCTGTTAGATGTGGAAGATATCACCTAGTACACGTTCATAA